AATAGTTTTTATTTGTGGTATCACATTTCTTTTTATACCTGGTTGTCTGATTTTTCACTGGAAATTATTTGAAACATTTTTTAGGAATAATTTGAGGCTAAAGTGAAGCCTACTGGGGACTGGTTCATTTCTGTCCATTTTTTACTGGGGAAGATGTAGTTCTTAGGGTCCCAGCTTACACTGGGCTTCAGAGACCCCACCTTTGGAAGGCATTTGAACTTTGACTTTTCCTTCCCTCTTAGACCCAATAGGCCACAAAAATCCAAGCTCAGTTACACACCTGTTGGTCAATGGCAAAATCAGCTTAAGTATTGAAATTAACTCTCTGAGTTCTCTTGTTCTTGATTTTGGCCCAGTAATTCCTTACTGTCTTCTTGGCTCTTTTATATGTTTAAGAAGATTTTATTTATTTATTTGACAGGTAAAGATCACAAGTAGGCAGAGAGGCAAGCAGAGAGAGAGAGAGGAGGGAGCAGGCTCCCTGTCCAGCAGAGAGCCTGATGTGGGGCTCAATCCCAGGATCCTGGGATCATGACCCGAGCCAAAGGCAGAGGCTTTAACCCACTGAGCCACCCAGGTGCCCCTGTTTAAGAAGATTTTAAAATATTTTGTTTAACTTTGTAAGAATTCTCAATAGGACAGTTGTTTTGAGTTACCTACCCCTACCAAATGTGGTAATCATCAGCTTTTAAAAATAAAAGCACAGAGAAAGAGTGAGAGAAAGAGGAAGGTAGAACTGTTAGTCTATGTTTTCATTTTAGAAGTATGTTGTTTAATCTCCACATATTTTGGAATTTTCTAGTTATCTTTGTTGATTTCTAGTTTAATTCCACTATGGAACAAGAGCAGACATCGTGTGATTTCTATTATTTTAAATTTGTTAAGGTATGTTTTGTGGCCTACAATGTGGTCTTTCTTGGTGAGTGTTCCATTTGAACTTGAGAAAAATGTGAATTCTGTTTTTGGGTAGTCTGTAGATGTCAATTATATCAAGTTGGTTGATGGTGTTGTTGAATTTAACTGTGTGTCCTTACTGATTTTTTACCTGTTGGGCCTATCTATTTCTGAGAGGAATGGTTGACAGTTTCAACTATGATAGTGGATTTGTTTATTTCTCCCTGCAGTTCTATCAATTTTTATCCCATATAGTTTAATGTTCTGTTGTTAGACACATACATGTTAAGAATTATTATGTCTCCTTGGAGAATTAACACCTTTTCATTAGGAAATGCTCTCTTTATCCTTGATAACTTTTCTTACGTCGCAGTTTGGTTTAGTCTGGAATATAACTGCTCCTGCTTTCTTTGGCTTAGTGTGGTATATTTTCTTCATCCATTTAATTTACCTTATTTATTTATTTATTTAAAGATTTTATTTTTAAGTAATCTCTAAATCCAACCCTGAGCTTGAACTCATAACCCTGATATCAAGAGTTGCACGCTCTACTGACTGAGCCAGCCAGGTGCCCCTCCCTCCATTTACTTTTCATTTATATGTGTTTTTATACTTAATGTGTATTTCTTTTTTTTTTTTTTAAGATTTTATTTATTTATTTGACAGAGAGAGTCACAGCAAGAGAGGAAACACAAGCAGGGGGAGTGGGAGAGGGAGAAGCAGGCTTCCCGGTGAGCAGGGAGCCCAAAGTGGGGCTCTATCTCAGGACCCGGGGATCATGACCTGAGCCAAAGGCAGACGCCTAACAACTGAGCCACTCAGGCGCCCCTTAATGTGTATTTCTAATAGATAGCATATAGTAAGGTTGTGTGTTTTGATCCACTCTGACATTCTGCATCATTTAATTGGAATATTTAGATCCTTGATGTTCAAATTGACTATTTTGTGATATAGTTTTAATATCTACCTTATGTATTTATTTATTTAAATTATTTTTATTAACATATAGTGTATTATTTGCCCCAGGGGTACAAGTCCACAAATCATTACACATTTCACAGAACTCACCATAGCACATACCCTCCCTATCATATTTATTACTATTTCCTATTTGTTGCCCTTGTTTTGGTTTCTGCTTTTGTCTTCCACTCTTTTCCTGCCTTTTGTGGTTGTAATTGAAAATTTAATATGATTCCATTTTTTTTCTTTCTTAGCCTATCAGTTATAGTTCCTTTTAAACTTTTTTTTTTTTTTTTTTGGAACTTGCCCTACAACTTGCAACATACATTTACAACTAATCCAAATCCACTTTTGGATAACACTATACCACTTCACATGCATATGAGTGATTTTTAATAATAAAGTAATCCTAATTCCTTCATCCTGTCTCTTGTACCATTGTTACCATTCATCTCACTTATATATAAATATACCTAAGCATTTATATACAGAAGATATATTCATAAGCATGTGATCAAATACATTATTCATATTACTATTTTGAACAAACTGTTATCTGTTATATCAATTAAGAATAAGAAAAATATTCACTTACTCCTTTGATTCTCTTCCTTTCTTTATGTAGACCAGATTTTCTGGCCTTTATTATTTTCCTTCTCTCTAAAGTATTTCTTTTAACATTTCTTGCAAGGCAAGTCCACTGGCAACACATTTCCCCAATTTCTTTTTTTTTTCTTTTAATATTTTTAATTTATTTGACAGACAGAGATCACAAGTAGGCAGAGAGGCAGGCAGAGAGAGGGGGAGGCAGGCTCCCCACTGAACAGAGAGCCCAACGTGGGGCTCAATCGCAGGACCCTGAGATCATGACCCGAGCTGAAGGCAGAGGTTTTAACCCACTGAGCCACCCAGGCGCCCCACATTTCCCCTGTTTCTTAACCAACTAAAACATCCAAGTGCCCCTACATTTTTCTTTTTAATTGCTGCAGTTTATTTCATTGTATGGATACTCCTTAATTCACTTAACCAGTGATATATTGGAAAGTGCTTTGTGGTTCAATCTGGAATCTTTTAATAGGTGAGTTTAGCCCATTTATAGTTATGATGTAACAGATAAGCACAGTCTTAGTTTTCTTTTTTTTCCCCTTTAAGAGTCAATATGGGGGCGCCTGTGTGGCTCAGTTGGTTAAGCATCTGCCTTCAGCTCAGGTCATGATCCCAGAGTCCCAGGATCAAGCCCTGCATTGGGCTCTCTGCTCAGTGGGAAGTCTGCTTCTCCCTTTCCCTTCTCCTACTCTCTCTCTCTCTCACTCAAATAAATAAATAATATCTTTAAAAAAAAAGAGGAGTCAGTATGGCTTAGTGGTTAAGAATAAGAAATCTAAATATTCTGCATTCAAGTCAGCTGCAGGTCTGGGTGTGCTTCCTTTGCAGACATTCTGGAAATGAAGGAGGAACTAAACAAAAAAAAATTTTTTTTAAGGAAAAGACAGAGGCCTCTAGCAGTTATTGCCATGTGACTTTGGATAGGTTATTTAACTTCTACGTGCTTTAGTTTCCTCATCTGTAAAATAAAATAATAATGGTATCTATTTCATAGGGTTTTTGTGCGGGAATAGTGTCTGGAACATAGTAAGGAGTATGTAAATGTTGGTTATTATTATTTATAATATTATGATGTTTTAGTACACCTTTAAGAATATTTTTCTATATACTCTGAATTATTTTTAAAATACTGGATATGTTTCCTTTGATAACTTGGAAATTACTTTTTGTAATTATTTGTTACTGTTTTTTATTTTTATTTTTACTTTTTTTTTTACTATGTTACTTTCATAACTATAGCATTATTTAATATATGTAATCCTTTATAAACTAATTATTATATTTCTGTTTCCTTTTCTCTCCCACTCACTCATTTGATTTTCAAGGACATCTTATTCATCTTAGTGTTTACCATGAAACCTGTAATTAGGCCTTGTAATTTAAAATTTCAGTTTGAAAATAATTTTGACCCATTGACAAGGAAATCAGCATACATACACTCTTGTTTGCATCTTTTCTTCTTTCTTCAAAATTTGTTAGTAATATCATTTGTGCCTTATTAAGTTTTAAATATTCACTTTCTGTTTTGTGACCCTGATGCCCACCTTTGTCTAAGACTTAGTCCTGCACTAATGGATTCACTGTTAATGTTCAAAATTTTTCATTGTCATCGTTTACGTGAATGAAAATTTTGTTGGGTATAAATTTCCTGGATCATTATTTGGTTGAGGGTTTTCAGGGCTGTGTGCTAGTAGTTTCTTTCCCTTTAATGGGGGCAGCATTTTCTGATGAGTATTCATCCACCATTTCTTTCTTAGAGTATCTTTGAATAGATCCTGGATTGGTTTCTTTTTTATTGTTTCTTATTTTGTAACAAAGTGAGCCCTTTCTGGACTATTTCATTTGGGGGAGAAGCTGTGATCTTGTTCTAGGCTAGCAGGAATCCACCATGGTTCACAATGATGTTCCTTACAATGCAATCCTGGTTTGTGGGATTGACTTATACTTGCATTTGCTGGTTTGTTCATAATGAGTTGTTTTGCCTTCCATTTGGCCTCACCAAGAGATTTGCTTCCAGCAAATGAGTTTTTGTGTGATTATTCAGGCCTCCCTTCCTTGCTGCTCTTTGGTACCATTCAGTTCTAGGGTTGCTTTCACTGACGGCCCATGAATCTTGTTCCTATTTTATCAAATAAGGAGTTTTCTTTTTTTTTTCCTTTTCCGGATATGTCACCAATTTTGGATTACTGTGCTCTCCCCAGCTTTTTAGCTATAGGCGATCTCTTGGTATCTTCATAAACTTCTGTTTGACCTTGACTACATTTGGCAGTCCCACCTTGTTTGATGTGGATAGGGGTCATAGATCCTGCTTAGTTTCATCAGAGATGGAGCTACATTTTTTTCTCATCAGTTTAATTGTATTATTTGAGAGGAGAATGGGGAAGTATGGTCTTTTGACTATAATTAAAAAAACAGAGTATGCTTTTAACAATTTATACTGTTTATAAATTTTATTTATATGTTTTTCTTATGCAAAGATTTTAGTGACTGCTGAATAATTCAATGTTGTAAAAACAATTTTGGATTTTTTTTTACAACAGCAACTGAGGCATGAAAATCTGGTGAATTTGTTGGAAGTGTGTAAGAAAAAAAAACGATGGTACCTCGTCTTTGAATTTGTTGACCATACAATTCTTGATGACTTGGAGCTCTTTCCTAATGGTCTAGACTACCAACTGGTTCAAAAGTATTTGTTTCAGATTATTAATGGAATTGGATTTTGTCACAGTCACAATGTAAGTATTTAGTTTAAATAATTACTTTGCCAATGGTTAACCTACCAGATACCATCACTTCGTGAGATACTTGCCTAGCCTGAAGTTTGGACCAATAAAGTAATTGAAATGAACATGTTACTTTGATACTGCCAATTTTCATGTTTCATAATAACATGGAGTCTTTCCTCCAACATTTTACTATAAAAATTTTAGGCTGTACTGAAAGTTGAAAGCGTGTATATGAACACCCATATAATTACCACAAGGATTCTATACTTGTTAACATTTTGCTATATTTGCATTAGTCATCCGTTTACCCATTAACCTGTCTTATTTATTTATGCATTTGAAAGTAAGTTACAGACATCAGTACACTTCAACTTTGAATACTTCAGGTATGAATATTACACTGGAGTTTTGCTATTTTTTTCCCCCTAGGTAACATTTGCTGGGTGAAATGCACAAATTTTAAGTTCAGATTCTCTTATCCTAGTTGTAAAGTATGAAAATTCCTGCTCTTACCCTATAATCTATCATAATAATTTTTATATCCATTTTCAAAAAAGATTTTATTTATTTATTTGACAGAGAGAAAGAAACAGCAAGAGAGGGAATACAAACAGGGGGCGGGGGAGAAGCAGGCTTCCAGCCAAGCAGGGAACCTGACACTGGGCTCCATCACAGGATCCTGGGATCATGACCTGAGCCGAAGGCAGATGCTTAACGACTGAGCCACCCAGGCACCCCTAATTTTATATCCTTTGAGAATCATATAAAAGCCCCTGTAGGTGAAATGACACTTATAAATATAGTATAAAATAAATAACACAATGATTCTGCCATATTTTTAAATGTGTGTGTGATTAGATAAGTAACAAATGCTAGTAGTAGCTGTGGGGCTGATCCTGTGACCTCACCACGAATGTCTAGGATGTAAGAGAAGTTGGTAGCTTATGCAAAATGCTCAGCAATAGCAGGTTGCTTTTGTCCTCTGAAAGAGTTTAAAATAAATATATTTTTAAGGATGCCTGGGTGACTTAGTCGGTTCAGCAGCTGCCTTTGGCTCAGGTCATGATCCCAGAGTCCTAGGACTGAATCCCACATAGAGCTCCCTGCTCAGTAGGCAGCCTGCTTCTCCTTCTCCCTCTGCTGCTCTCCCTGCTTGCGCTCTTGCTCTCTCACTCTCTCTCTCCTGCTCTTTCTCTCTAGAAAATAAATAAATAAAATCTTTTTTTTTTTAAGATGTTTTTAATTTATTTGACAGACAGAGATCACAAGTAGGCAGAGAGGCAGGCAGAGAGAGAGGGGGAAGCAGGCTCACTACCGAGCAGAGAGCCCGATGTGGGGCTCGATCCCAGGACCCTGAGAGCATGACCTGAGCCAAAGGCAGAGGCTTTAACCCACTGAACCACCCAGGCGCCCCTAAATAAAATCCTTTAAAAAATAAATATATTTTTTAAATGTTCAAAATGAAGCTTACTTATGTTAGAGAGGGAGACTTAATAATTTATTTTGCCTAGCTGTAGAATTTTTAGTATTGTCTCCCAGCATCCTGTTTTCTACTTCCATAGTCTCTCCTTTAGAAATCCTAACTACTGACCTTGTTGTACCCTTTTTACATTTCTAACTGCCTGATGAATGCCTCCAGTTGGGTGCTCAGCAGTCTACCTAAAAGCCCATATGGCTAAAACTAAACTACTGATTACTCCATGAAGCTGAGTTTTTCTAGACTTTTCTTTTTTTGATGGAGCCACTGTTATTTTAGATTCCCAGGTTTAAGAAAAATGTCTAAGATTACTTCCTAAATTCTCTTGATTCTAATTGAGAATATTTCTAAATTGTATCTCTCCCATTCCATTTCTCTGAACACCAGCCTAGTTTAGGCCCTTATCATCTTATAGTTGTCCCATTGCTCTTCTCCTGGCCTCTGGTCCCTCTTTCTGATTTAGTTTGTTTATGGCCAGCATCTTTAAACACCACATTGGTTGTCACTTACATGGGTTCCCACTTCTCTGGGAAGTCTTTTTTTTTTTTTTTTTTTAAGATTTTATTTATTTATTTGACAGAGAGATAGAGAGGCAGTGAGAGAGGGAACACAAGCAGGAGGAGTGGAAGAGGGAGAAACAAGCCTCTCCCTGAGCAGGGAGCCCGACGCTGATCCCAGGACCCTGGGACCACTACCCAAGCCGAAGGCAGACAACCCAACAACCGAGCCACCCAGGCGCCCCTTCCCTGGGAAGTCTTAGCACAAACTCAGACTTCCCAGGCTGGCAGTTGAGGCAGTCTTCCTCCCTAGTACCTCACCTCTACTCTAGGAAAACATTTCCCTGATCTATTTTTGTCTTCAGTATTTTTCTTAAAAAAAAAAAAAAGATTGATTGATTGATTTTAAGGATTTTTTATTTCTTTATTTGACACAGAGAGACAGCAAGAGAGAGAACACAAGCAGGGGCAGGGGGTGAGGGAGAGGGAGAAGCCGGCTCTCCGCTGAGCAGGGAGCCAGATGGTGGGGTCCATCCCAGGACCCTAGGATCATGACCTGAGCTAAAGGTAGCCACTGAATGACTGAGCCACCCAGACACCCCTATTTATTTATTTGAGAGAGAGAGAAAGAGAGAGAGAGAAAGGGGAGGTGAGGTAGAGGAAAAGGGAGAGTCCCCGCTGAGTGGGGAATGTGACATAGGGCTGGATCCCACAACCCTGAGATCATGACCTGAACTGAAATCAAGCCTGATGCTCAACCACCTGAGATACCCAGGCACCCTTGGTCTTCACTCTTTTACTCTCCCTCACTCAGAATTAGAGACCTATCTTAGAAGCGACCCCTTTCATAAAAATTTTCCATGATCACTCTAGTCTTCAATGATAGCCTTACTCTGTTAGTCATTAATAGAACAATTGATTTGGTATCTAGTAATAAATGTTTCATCTAATATGTTTGATTGTTTAAGTGAAATTTCAAGCATAAGTGTCCTTTCTTGCCTAGCCAGGTCCCAGTTACTTTAAAGCTGGGAACAATTTCATATGCTTTTATTTGTATTCATGATAGGGACAAAAACAGTACAGTACACATGGCAGGTGTTCAAAAAATGATTTGCTTAACTTGAAGTGCCCATATGTGTCATATTCTGTTTTTTGTCTTAGATCATACACAGAGATATAAAGCCAGAGAATATATTAGTCTCACAGTCTGGCGTTGTCAAATTATGTGATTTTGGATTTGCGCGAACATTGGCAGCCCCTGGGGAAGTTTATACTGATTATGTGGCGACCCGATGGTACAGAGCTCCAGAACTATTGGTCGGTGATGTCAAGTATGGCAAGTAAGACATCAACAAGGGGGTGGGGGAGCAGGGAGGGCCGATTTAACACTGTTTTTCTTGATAAAATGGAATATGTTTCTAATATAATAAAGGATCCCTCTAACATGAAAGGAATTTTTGCATTTAGGGAGCTTTATAAGGTGACTTGTTCTTTTTGGTGCTTCCCCTTTAAATGTCTTTTGTGCAATGAGTTGGAGAAAGCATACTTACTTTAAAGGTAAGGAAATAAAGGTGAGTGCCTCATCTGTTTTGTACAGCGGGTTGGAAATAGATATATTTAGAACATTGAGTAAGTCTGACACTGTTGGAATGAGACAAGTTGAAGTTGGCAAAGATGGGGGTAGAAACATAATTGAGTGAAATGTTTCTGAAACATGAAATACCTGCACAAATGAGTTCTTCAGAGAAGAAGGGATGGTGACTTTTACTGCTTTGGGTAGAAAGCTTCCTAAAATGTTTTCTGTACTTTCTGTGTTTTCAGTGCACACATTATTTAATATTTTCTTGATTACTCGGAGTTCTCATTTTATTTTTATACTGTAGTTTTGTACCATTTTATTTTATTTTTTAGAAGTTATTCACTTTAGAGAAGGCGGGGACAGAGGGAGAGAGAGTCTTAAGCAGATTCTGTGCAGAGCATGGAGTCCAGTGCAGGGCTGGATCTCGTAACCCTGAGATCATGACCTGAGCCAAAATCAAGAGTTAGACGCCCAACTGACTGCGCCACTCAGACGCCCCTGTACCATTTTATAATTCAGCTCTGACCCTAAGAAATTTCAAGGTAGTGGTGCCTGGGTGGCTCAGTTGGTTAAGCCTCTGCCTTCGGCTCAGGTCGTGATCCTGGGGTCTTGGGACAGCATGTCGGGCTCCCTGCTCAGTGGAGAGTCTGCTTTTCTCTTTCCTTCTGCCTGATGCTCTGCCTGCTTGTGCGCTTTCTGTCAAATAAATAAATAAAATCTTAAAAAAAAATTAAATTTCAAGGTAGTTGTCCCTACTCTAATGACACCAGCATATTCTTCTTGAAATTCTTGTGACTGATTTTTAAGACTGTTTTTTTAATTTTTTCCCCAGTTAGCTATCGGTTGTCTTTGTTGTTACTGAATGTGTCTCCAACAACCTCTGATATGCTGTTTTCAGGGTATGGTGGGATAGACTGATCAACCTTGCTACAGTTACGTGTAAACAAAGAACAAATAGGCTCTGAATGAAAACCCAGAAGGCTAATTCCAGAATCAAGTACACGTAACAACAACTTTGACTTTCCAGAAGCTATTTCCCTCTTAAGTCAAATAACTGAAGTTCCTGGAGATCTGACTTGGGTAAAATTGGGAATTAGTACTTTAAGTTTATAGGGAAATGTATTTTTAAGAGTAATATAAAGCTTACTACTACTATTCTCAATACCAAAAATACCAAATAGTAATATGCAGGACAGATTCAGTCACATAAACGTAGTGGGATGCCGGATTTTATACCACATTGCTTTTATTCCAGGGCTGTTGATGTATGGGCCATTGGTTGTCTGGTAACAGAAATGCTCATGGGCGAACCCCTTTTTCCTGGAGATTCTGATATTGACCAGCTATATCATATTATGGTGTGTTTAGGTAAGATTATACATCTGCCTTTTAAATTTTAAAGGCTTTTCCCTTATGTTTTTGCTCATATTGGTTTTACAAGTTTTTGGTATATTCAAGATGATATGTGTTTTAGGTGGCAGGAGGGAGCAAATGGGGAAATCTCCCCTAGCTGTATTAATTCATTCTCAGTGTGGCTTTGGTTATCTGACATACAATCTTATTCATGCTCTCCTCCACCCTCTTCTTGCACTCCCTACAAAGGAAAGTGCAAAGACTGAATTTTCTTTGTACTTTTGCACTCAATATATCACATGTAGGGGATGCAAATGATCATTTATTTTCTTTGGGTTAGCAAGCAGTCAGTGTAATATGACTAGTACCGTCATCCTCACCTTCAAATTAAGAGACGCAAAGACTTCCTAGGTAGTTTAATCTTAGTGCTTTGGACAGAATTTTAAAGCTAGACTATCAAATTCTTCTTACATTTGTTGAAATACCAGCTTTATGTTGGGAAATGGAACTTGGAAAATGGAGATAATGGGAAAATACTTGAGTTATTTGACGACTGGACTTCAAGTTTCCCAGGTAGAAATTCAATAAACAATACAGTAAGGTTCTCATAGCAGAACTTTCATATTTTGTATTAGATTAGGTACCAAAATGGAAGAAAACAAAAAAGTGCTCAAATCAGACCTTAGACACAGTTATAAAATCAGATTTTTAAAATTTTAAAACAGTTTTAATTTAAAAAATTAAAACAATTTAATCTGAATTTTAGAATTAAATACTTAAAGGGTGGAACTGATTTATCTACATTAGATTCTGATCATATGATTAATAAAATTTCCTTGTTTTGGACAGCACTTCATGCTTTGTTGTTAGGAATGAAGTGTTGGTACTTATAGCTAAAAAATTATAAAATGTCCTTGTGCTTCTTCTCTGTTCCCTCATGATTTCAGTTCTATATATAGTGGCTTGTGAATTTTCTAAATCAGTAGGTTGAGATAAGAATGTTAATTTTCTTGAGTTAACTTGTGTCAACACCACTGTGAAGACTGCTAGGTGCTACCACCATAAGAACACAGTTTTCAGTTGATTTGGGTATTGAAAGCACCCCAAGTCCATAAGCCATGTTCTACTCTTATCCACTCCACATTACCTGTTTCTTTGTTCTTTTTATCATGACATGTAATGACAGAGATGTGTGCTGTTCCCACTTTCAGGTAATCTCATTCCAAGACATCAGGAGCTGTTTTATAAAAATCCCGTGTTTGCAGGAGTAAGGTTGCCAGAAATCAAGGAAACAGAACCTCTTGAAAGACGTTATCCCAAACTCTCTGAAGTTGTGATAGATTTAGCAAAGGTAATCGTACTGTTTACTTTCTTACAGTGAATTTATATCATAGAGACTTGGTTTTCTCTTTTTCTTGTCTAGTTGATGTTTTAGGTCAACAATTTCAATATTGATTTAATTAAATTAAATTAATTTATTTATTTTAAGTAAACTCTACCCCTGACATGGGGCTGAAACTCACAACCCTGAGATCAAGAGAGACATGCTCTACCAACTGAACCAGCCAGGAGGTCAGCATCCCCGCCTTTTTTTTTTTTTTTTTTGGGGGGGCCAATGAGCTCTAAGCCCAACTTGGAGCTTGAACTCACAGTCGCATGCTGCATTGACTGAGCCAGCCGAGTGCCCTTCTATTGATTTTATTTTTTTTAAAGAGATTTTATTTGTTTATTTGAGAGTGAGAGCACAAACAGAAGTAGTAGCAGAGGGAGAAGAAATCTGAGCAGGAAGCCTGGTTTGGGACTTGATCCCAGGACCCTGGGATCACAACCTGAGCTAAAGGCAGACGCTTAACTGACCAAGCCACCCAGGCACCCCTGATTTTTTTTTTTTTTTTAAAGATTTTATTTATTTGTCAGAGAGAGAGGGAGAGAGAGCGAGCACAGGCAGGCAGAGGCAGAGGGAGAAGCAGGCTCCCTGCAGAGCAAGGAGCCCGATGCGGGACTCGATCCCAGGACGCTGGGATCATGACCTGAGCCGAAGGCAGCTGCTTAACCAACTGAGCCACCCAGGCATCCCGGCGCCCCTGATTTTTATCTTTGTATGTAAAGAAAGAGTTTAAATAATTTGGCAGGGTGATCTTCAGAGAGAAAGGCCTGAAAAACTTGCTTAAGAAACCATTTAGTGTTGCTATCTAGCATGTTTTAAGTGTGAAAACATCCTCACAACAGTATGTTTGACACTTAAAATGTAAGCCTATGCAAATGGAAAAGAGAAGAAAAGTAAGATAAGGAAATAAAAAGAAAGTTAAAGAAGTAGCAAAATATTAAAATATAAGGCATAGGATCATGACCTGTACTGCCTTGTTAAAGAGACTTTTGCCCATATGTGTCGTATTCCCAAGCCCCCTTCCCTGGGAAGCTCAATGAAGCGAACTTAAAAATAAAAGATCATCACCTTTGCCTTGTCTTTGAGAAAGATGTTAGGGAAATTCTCACTGGAACTTTGGAATTGCTAGCTCAAAAAATTCTTGTTTATTAGGACTGTCCTGAAGTATTGATAAAGTAAGTACAGTTTATCTGAAACACCAGGATCATATGATATTTTCTCAAGATTTTTTTGCTTCTTAAATTTTTTAAATAACTCATAAAAAAAGTTTGGTAAGCTTATAAAATTATTACAAGTTCTTAGAAGAATTTCTACTTCTCTAGATAATCTTAAAGCAGATTCAAATATTTCTTTTTTTTTTTTTAATTTTATTTTTTATAAACATATATTTTTATCCCCAGGGGTACAGGTCTGTGAATCGCCAGGTTTACACACTTCACAGCACTCACCATAGCACATACCCTCCCCAATGTCCATAACCCCACCCCCCCTCCCCCAACCCCCCTCCCCCCACCAACCCTCAGTTTGTTTTGTGAGATTAAGAGTCACTTATGGTTTGTCTCCCTCCCAATCCCATCTTTCTTCATTTACTCTTCTCCTACCCCCTTAACCCCCATGTTGCATCTCCTCTCCCTCATATCAGGGAGATCATATGATAGTTGTCTTTCTCCGATTGACTTACTTCGCTAAGCATGATACCCTCTAGTTCCATCCACGTCGTCTCAAATGGCAAGATTTCATTTCTTTTGACGGCTGCATAGTATTCCATTGTGTATATATACCACCTCTTCTTTATCCATTCGTCTGTTGATGGACATCTAGGTTCTTTCCATAGTTTGGCTATTGTAGACATTGCTGCTATAAACATTCGGGTGCACGTCCCCCTTCGGATCACTACGTTTGTATCTTTAGGGTAAATACCCAGCAGTGCAATTGCTGGGTCATAGGGTAGTTCTATTTTCAGCATTTTGAGGAACCTCCATGCTGTTTTCCAGAGTGGTTGCACCAGCTTGCATTCCCACCAACAGAGATTCAAATATTTCTTATTGAGACCAACTTTATGATGTCTATAGAGATTTAAAGGGAATTAAAGTAAAACTTTTATCCAATTTATATCCCTTATGGTAGAATTATATAACTTTTAAACATTTTGTTATGGAAAATTTCAAATATAGTAAAGAAAGTAGAGAGAATATAGGAGTATAATGAATCTTCCTGTGCTTATCTTCTAGCTGCAGCAATTAACAACCTTTTGACAATCTTTTATCTATCTTCACCTTCCTCAACTTCGTTTTCTGTAGTATTTTGAACCAAACCCCAGATACTATATTATTTCACTTATAAATACCTTAATTATTTTTTTCAATATTTTATTTATTTATTTGACAGAGATCACAAGTAGGCAGAGAGGCAGGCAGAGAGAGAGGAGAAAGCAGGATCCCTGCTGAGCAGAGAGCCCGATGCAGGGCTTGATCCCAGGACCCTAGGATCATGACCTGAGCTGAAAGCAGAGGCTTTAACCCACTGAGCCACCCAGGCGCCCCTAAATACCTTAAATATTTGTAGAACTCTTCTTGTTTGCTTAAATTATGGAGTTCCTTCCATTTTTCTGGCATTAAGTGTTTCCAATAAATCAGAACAATACCTGCATTAAAATAAAATAATCTGCATAAAGAATCCAACACAATAATATACATAGAACAGGCCTTTTCCTTTCCATTCTGCAAGGGCTTTAAATTTTAAAAATTTATGATAATTCCCCAATATTATAAAACATCTTGCCAATGCTCAAAGTTTCATTGATTTTCTCATAATTTCTTTTTATAGTTTGAATTAGGGTCTACATGATGTCTGTAGATCACAACTGGTTGATAAATCTTAGTTTAGAAGCTCATATTCATGCCTTTCTTTTTTATTTAAATCTTGCCACTTATTTGATAAAGAAAGTAGGTTGTTTGACCCTTAGAATTTTTTTTTTAAAAGATTTTATTTATTTATACGACAGACAGAACACAAATAGACAGAGGCAGGTAGAGACAGAGGAGTAAGCGGTCTCCCCGACGAGCGGAGAGCCCGATGCGGGGTTCGATTCCAGGACCCTGGGATCATGACCTGAGCCAAAGGCAGAGGCTTAACCCACTGAGCCACCCAGGTACCCCAGAATTTTTTTTTAAGATTTTTTAAAAAAATTTATTTATTTGACAGAGATCACAAGTAGGCAGAGAGGCAGGCAGAGAGAGAGAGGTGGGGGGGAAGCAGGCTCCCCGCTGAGCAGAGAACCCGATGTGGGGCTCGATCCCAGGACCCTGGGATCATGACCTGAGCCAAAGGCAGAGGCTTAACCCACTGAGCCACCCAGGCGCCCCGACCCTTAGGATTTTATATAGAGTATAGTTTAATATGTTCCTCTGTGTCCTGTATTTCTTATAAACTCATAATAGAACTAGAGCTTGATCAGAATCAGATTGGCTTTTGGCAAGACTACATCAGAAGTTTGTATGTTTCCATCTAGAGACATAAAATGTCTGGTAGTCTTTCTTTTTGTGATTTAGCAACCATTGGTGGTCATTGTCTAGATATGTTGTTTATTCTTTATCATTTATTATATGCTTTTCAAATTTGCTGACTATAAAGAGCAATTTTCTATTTTTCTTTCTTTTTTTTCTTTCAAAGATTTTATTTATTTGAGAGAGAGAGGGAGCAAAAGTGGGGGAGGGGGACAGGAGATGCAGAGGGATAGGGAGAAGCAGACTCCCCACTAAGCAGGGAGCCTGATGTGGTCCTAGATTCCAAGACCCTGGGATCATGACCTGAGCTGAAGGCAAAGGCTTAATGACTGAGCTACACAGAAGCCCCAGTTTTCCATTTTTCTATATTTAGGAATCTAAGTGTAGGCAGTTTTTCATTGATATGAGCTGTGTATATTCCTTGTTTTTCCAGAAATGCTTACATATTGACCCAGACAAAAGACCCTTCTGTGCTGAACTCCTCCATCATGATTTCTTTCATAAGGATGGATTTGCCGAGAGGTATAGTACTGACTCACGTTTTCTGGGTACCCGAACCTAGAGTTAAAGTAAGGGCATTCTCTTGTTTCTTTAGCCACCTGTTTTTATAGGATCTCAAGTATTTGCCACCTTACCACTACTCACCCTTAGCAATTATGCAGTTCCTAGGAATGGTCCCCTGAATTCACTAAGTTAAGGATCTTGGTTTTCATGAAACAGTCACTTCATGCTTTTCTTTCTGGCTCCTGCGGGTGACATCTACCACTCGGGTTACTGATTTGTATGTTGCTACCAGCTGTGTGATGCCATCATCTTGAGTACTGATGCATTTGCAAACATGCCATCTCCCGTTGCCACTGACCTCACACCACACCCAGTCCTATGACACGGTTGCCACTGCTGTGCTGGGACCTTGCTGGGCCAAACTTGGGGGCACCAGACCCGTTGGCATGCTCTCTTGTGCTGTCCCAGCTGCTGGCATCAATGTAGTTGACGAAACAAAAAATAGTGAGATGAGTGGCAATGACAGTGCTTTATATTTTTGCAAATCTATTTAATCTTGAGCTTAATGAAAGATACTCTGGTTCTCATATTTGCATTCGCATTCAACTAATTGTGATATGTTGTTTTGATTGAGATATATGAAGATACTTTGGCCTCACCAGATGTATAGTTGTAAAATGGAAGAGTATTTTAATAGCCCTTTTATTTTTTTTAAGATTTTATTTATTTATTTGACAGACAGATCACAAGTAGGCAGAGAGGCAGGTAGAGAGAGAGGGGGAAGCAGGCTCCCTGCTGAGCAGAGAGCCCAATGCGGGGCTCGATCCCAGGACCCTGGGATCATGACCTGAGCCGAAGGCAGAGGCTTTAATTTAGCCCACTGAGCCACCCAGGCGCCCCTTTAATAGCCCTTTCAGATAATTGTGAGTATTCTTTATTGATTCCATACCCCAAACTCTGATACTATACCCAAACTTGACAGTGGTAGTTTCTTAAAGGCTGGTTGTATTATGGAATCTGAAACATATCAGTGAGCTTTTCTTATCCTATTACATTAAAATCCATTTGTCTATCTTGCACTTTGAGTAGATCTTTGTTAACCATGCATGCTTTTGTAACATCATTATGAGTCATTTGGAAAATACTATTTTGTTAAATAATGTAGCTCTTTAAAATGATAACATAGTTCATTATGTGGTATCAAAAAGCCACATTCTCTGAATGTCTTTTTAAGTATTGGGACTCTGTTAAGGGCACAGTAGTGGACACAGATTTAACAGAATTCTAATTTTGCAGAATAATTCTAATTCTAAATAATACAATCTAAAAAATAATTCTAAAAAATTAGAATTTTATCATTAACACAAATATCTGTTGTTTTCTTTTGTTTATTAAAAAAAAAAATGTCTGCAGGATACACCAAGTCTGAATAATGGTAGTAGTTTTCTGTCAGTCTTTCTTCAACTAAAAATGTTCCCTGAAAAAAGTGGCTAGTTGAGTTTGTATTTCTAATAATCACACCATTCCTCTTCTTTTCTTTTAATTTTTAAAGATTTTATTTATTTATTTGAGAAAGTGCACATGCAGGGGAGAGAAGGAGAACAGACTCCCCGCTGAGCAGGGGACCCAATGTGGGGCCCCATCCCAGGCCCCTTGGGGTCATGACCTGAGCTGAAGGCAGATGCTTTAACTGACTGAGCCACCCAGGCGACCCTATAGTCTAGTTTAATACTCAATTTTTAAAAAAGATTTTATTTATTTATTTGAAAGACAGGGTGAGTGAGTGAGAGTGAGCGAAGGAGCAAGGGGTTGGGCAGGGGGAGAGGAAGAAAAACTCCCGCTGAGCAGGGAGCTAGACACAGCTCGACCCTGGGACTCCAGGATCATGACCTTAGCAGAAAGCAGATGCTTAACCGATGGCGCCACCCAGCTGCTCCTTAATACTCAATTTTTAAAAATAAATACCTCGAAATGAATTTTTTTCTAGATTTGTCTGTCTTATACAATTTTATTGAATTGACAAATGTATTTTTATGTAGATTTTCTCAAGAGCTACAGTTAAAAGTACAGAAAGATGCCAGAAATATTTCTTTATCTAAAAAATCTCAGAACAGAAAGAAGGAAAAGGAAAAGGATGATTTCTTCGGTGAAGAGAGAAAAACACTTGTGGTACAGGTAAGTCACCATGTGTTAATGTGCATCAAGTTGTTTTTAAGATTATTTATTTATTTTTGTATGTGCGAGAGAGAGAGAGCACAGAAGGTGGGGGGTTCGGGAGGAGCAGAGGGAGAAGCGGGCTCCCCACCGAGCAGGCAGCCCAATGAGGGACTTGATATTAAGACCCTGGGATCATGACCTGAGCCAAAGGCAGAGGCTTAACCGACTGAGCCACCCAGGTGCTCCAATGTTAAGTTTTAGATTTAATTTATCTTTAAATTTTTGGAGTTAAAAAATGAAGATGAAAAAAAGTTTTCTGGGTGCTGAACACGTTAACGTTTAGATTAGTTATAAAAATGTTATCTTCTCTTTAGACATTACCTTTTAAAAAACTCTCTCAAGATATCATGTATTGAGTGCCTGCTGTATATCAGACTGTGCAATAGGCCTTGTCAGGAAACCACATTTATCCTAGAACATTTAGACACATGTACTCACGTATAGTCACATGGACGCAAACACATGCACATATCATTTTTTCCCTTAAGTGATAAGAGTGAAAAATATCATATAAAAAATTTTGTATGGAGCATTTTAAAATTGAGATTTGGATATTTATTTAAAGTTTATTTTTGCAAGTTAGGTTATCCAGAATCTGTTCTTGGTGAGGTAATTCAATCCCTGCCAACCCACTCCCATTTTCTCAAGTGAGTTGAAAGGAATTCTCAATTTTGTATTTCAATTTTTGTACTTTAGATTTATAAGAACAAAAAGGAACATACTTAATTCCTCTTTCGCATTGTTTTCTACTAAAATATATATATAAAATTAATATATGTATGTGTCATGTTAATCATATATATATGTATATATATATATCTCAGAGCTAGTGTGAACTGCATTTCTTCTTTTTTTTTTTTTGAGATTTTTTTATTTTTAAGTGATTTCTGTACCCAAATTGGGGCTCGAACTTACAACTCTAAGATCAAGAGTTGCATGCTCTACTGACTGAGCTGGCCAGGTAGCCCGTGAGTTGCATTTTTATTCAAAATAAATGTCTGACCAAGAATCCTGGATTTAATTTTAATTCTATAGATAGAATGAAGAAAACAGGGGTGCAGTAAGGTGATATTTATGGAATTCCACTTTCGTTGACAAATTCTTTATAAGAAGAGGTGCTTTTTCAATCTCTTCTGATCATTAATGTTATTAACTTTTTTTAATGGTCAGGATACCAATGCTGATCCCAAAATCAAAGATTCTAAGGTATTTAAAATAAAAGGGTCAAAAATGGATGGAGAAAAAGTTGAAAAAGTCAGTCGAACTTCCAATGTCAGCTGTCTCCCCGACAATGGGATGAGCCACGTCAGAACCGTGCCTTCAACAAGCCTCCGAGACTGCAGCAACGGCGGTGGGGATCACACTAGAAATCCGGGCGTGGCAATCCCTCCCATTGCCCACAATCCTTCTGCAGTGGCTCCGGGTATTAATTCTGGAATGGTGACGATCCCGGGAGTTCAGAGTTACAGGTATGAATTAGGAAAATAAGAACAAAGTGTCATTTAAAGGTATGTTTACGAATTGCAAGTGTTTGTCATTTCAGCCAATTGGGTTGCTTTCAGGCTTCTGGGTCCTCTTCATTCCTGTCAGGTTCTGTTTCAAAAGCCTTTTTGGCCTACGTGATGAAACTTACTAACACTTGATAAAAAAAAAAAAAAAATTCACCTGAGTATTAAGAAAGAAGGATTGTATTATTTAAGGTGAAGGTGGTCTACAACTATTTAGTCTAAAAACGTGAAAGGAGGTTATCATAATAAAGGAAATAATTGGTTTTAAGGGTTTACCTACATGGAATGGCTGTGGGCATTTGGTGGTCCAAAGATGCTCACTTTGGAAATTTTGCTGGAAGGAAAGTAGTTCATTTGGTTGGAGTTGGGAGGTAGGTGGGGGCTGTGAAGGTAGTGGCAAAGGACTGAATGTTTCGCCAGATCTATGTTCATTGTGTATTTAAGAACAGGCATTAAATGCTGATTAAACTGCAGGTCACTTGGTTTTGTGTCATTTGGTTTTGCTTTTGTGCTTGAAACACAATTACCGCTGGTTCTAACTTAAATTTTTTGTTGTTGTTACAGAGTGGATGAAAAAACCAAGAAGTATTGTATCCCATTTGTTAAACCAAATAAACATTCTCCGTCAGGCATTTATAATATTAATGTGACCACATCCGTAAGTGAACTATTCCCAGTGGTAGAAGAGCAAGTATTAGTCATTTCTAGACTTCCACTCGTGTTAAATATAATAGTGAAGAACTGAGACTTTTATTTGGAGACATATCATAAAGTGGAACCTTAGTTTTATGTATATCATCCCAACCTGTCATAATAAACAATGTGAAACTGTTAAAGTTTAAGTAAGTTTTGTGAGTCTAGAAGTTTAACTATAAGATATTATTTAAATGACATCTGCTTTAATTTTTTTTGGTAATAGTAAATTTTCTTAATACTTGGTGATCAGTTCTTTTGTAGAGTAGGTGACAAGTTAAATCGTGGTACCTCGCTCATGCCAGGTTTTTGGTGAAAGTATTCTATTGACTTGTTTATAAATATTTATTGATTATGTATCCTGTATGAGACCCTGGAGATGAAGAAATCAAATCCCTCTCTTCGAGGAGCTCATGGTCTAGTATAGGGTCAACAAATTCAAACAGTGTTGGATTATAATAGTGGAAGCATGCACAAGGTTCACAGGTCTTCTGAAGATTCAGGGGAGGGTTATTATGCTCACATAACTGCTAGCATGCCTCTTTTTAAAATTAACTTAAATCATCATTATTCTTCCACTCAAAACCCTCCATTGGCTTGTCATCTCTAAGTAAAGACCAAGTCCTTGACAGGGCCTGCAAGTCCCTGGTCAACCCACTTCCCCATCCCTCTATTCTACCTGGGCTATTCTCATTCTTTTTTTTTAACCACCCCCCTCTTTTTTTTTTTTTTATAAAGATTTTATTTATTTATTTGACAAACAGAGATCACAAGTAGGCAGAGAGGCAGGCAGAGAGAGAGGAGGAAGCAGGCTCCCCGCTGAGCAGAGAGCCTGATGCGGGCTCGATCCCAGGACCCTGAGACCATGACCTGAGCCAAAGGCAGAGGCTTTAACCCACTGAGCCACCCAGGTGCCCCGGGATATTCTCATTCTTGATCAAACTGTTCCAACCCACTGATTTCCTTGTATTCCTTGAACATGACCAGACCTGCTCCTACATTTGGGAGCTTGTTATTTCCTCTGCTTTAGAACATTGTTATTTCCTCTGCTTTAGAACATTATTACCCAGATAACCCAAAGAATTTGCCTTTTCTCCTCCTTGGCTTACATGAAGCCTCATTGTGAGAGCTTCCCTAATATCCTAACTCCTTTTGTCACCCGTTGCTCTCTATCCTCTCTCCTTGCTTAATTTTTTTTCCATTGCATACACCTAACAGCCTCTATATGCATTTATCTATATATCGTCTGTCTCCCCCAACTAGTATGTAAGTTTCCAAGGCAGGAATATGTGCTTTGTTTATTTCCTTACAGCTCTACTCCACTACCCTTATCTACTCTAGTACATAGAAGATGCTTAAGGAATGTGAGTGAATTTTTCTGCCAGGTAATGGGAGATGTGGATTTCCCAAAGGAGTGTTTTTCTCCCAGATTTCCCTCTTCTACCCTTCTCATTATCCTCAGGCTGAAAAATATAATCTTCTTTTCATATCTCTCATGATTTGGGCATTACATCTGCTTTTCTTTTCATTATTCTTGGCCCACGATTTCTAGAACCATAGTACTTCTCTTTTTCACACCCTTCTGATTTCTTTGTAGACATTTTTGTGTTTTACATTCTTGGTCTGCTTTGGAAGATTACTTTGATCAGCAGGACTTTTCAGAGTCACTGGCTCCATCCCATGTTGCTGGAATTGATCGCACCGCCTTTCAGGCGTTGCGTAATCAGGCCTGGCTGTTAATTTTAGATCTTATTTCTGTTTATTCTTATTTTTAAGAGGCATTCAAGAGAGGAGGTAGAGATCAGTGGGGAGAAGACACACTTGAGTCTTTTCATGATGAAAATTAATTGAGGCAGAATTAAGCCTTAACTTTCATCAACATCTGGGTTTAGAACCCACATCCTGCTCTCCTGCCTCATGCTCTAATTCTGAGATGTGAATAACGTATTATTATAAACATCCCATGTGTTTTATTTGTCACTCTTGGAATATGTATATCTAGTAGTCTGAACTCATTTTTTGTACTTACAGTTTTTTTGAACTAAATATTTATTTTATAACTGATTTGAACCAAGACCTTAGTACTTACTTTACTCAAAGAATGAGCAGAAACATCCAAATAAAAAACCTCAAAAGCTCATTGCAGGACTTCTGAAATTTTGTGTTATTCTTTAATTCCTAAAGTTTAGGATATCAATATATTAGTTACAAAAGGGGCAAGCCAGGCTTACCTGGAAGCTAATTCACTTGTGTTAATCATTCTGATATTAGGTCACTAGTGAAAAGAGCCTACTTCAGGCAAATAAGAAAAGAAGGGAGTACTCCAAGACAGATGTCCGTTTGCCTGAACTAAACTACAGTCATCTCCCTGAACTAAGAGCCTTGGAAGGCATAGGTTTGTTTATAATGCTCTTACTTTTGCAGCCTTTTTTGTATACATTATTAAAAATATATGTTAAATAAACTAACAAAATATTAAAAATAAAAAATGTAGTAACTTTACATATTTATGTAAATATGTACAGATTTATGTAAGTAAATATGTACACTGAGTACATACTGAGGGACAGATACAGAATGTGGAATAACTAACAAAAATGTCTAATTTGTTCACTGTGTTTATGGTTATTTTTATTTAGCTCGAAATTCCAGATTAATAAGGAAAGAGAACAAGAATCTCTCAGAATCTCGAATTCCTTCTCTGGCCACTATTGACTTACATACACCCAGTGCCGCATTACATCAGGTACAGGAATCCCCTCTAGGTTGGATAGAACTTGGGTCTCATACTTCCTTATTAAAGTAGCTTAGGAAAAGTTCGCTTTTAAGGATTAGGTGTGTTTATTAGTGGGATCTGTATGATTTTATTTGTTAAATTTTTTCTTACTATTCATTGCTCTCAGTACCTTTATCACACATATGTTTTTATAGACATTTTCCAGCTTACAGTCATCAATTTTTTATAGATTAAAAATGCACACACCATGTATGCAACCTAGCTATGGCTTTTATAAAACTTTTGTGGTAATTTATAGTATTTCACTGCATTAACCCAAATGTTATAACCCATATTTCACTCCTTGAATTATTTTTATTTTTTTATTTTTATTTTTATTTATTTTTTAATTTTGTTTATTTATTTGATAGAGATCACAAGTAGGCAGAGAGGCAGGCAGAGAGAGAGGAGGAAGCAGGTTCCCCATGGAGCAGAGAGCCTGATGCGGGGCTCGATCCCAGGACCCTGGGAATCATGACCTGAGCTGAAGGCAGAGGCTTTAACCCACTGAGCCACCCAGGCACCCCTGTTTTTATTTTTTTTTAATGTATCATCTATTTGACATTTTCGCCCAAGACAACCCACTCCATGTATGTTAAAGACTGGTTCTTCCATATGTAATCATTTTTCTATAATTTCTCTTAATTCTTCAGAACAGTTATATTTCTGCTGCTTCAGCAACAGTCATATCACTCATTTTCACATTAAGAACACTGGCAAACTTTTAAATTTCCTGAGCCAACCCTAACTAGTTATAAACTTTGGATATGTATCATTGCACTTAAGGATTTCTCACTTCTCCTTGGTGCTGGACAACTTTTGTTTTGGGATTTATTTCTCCGTCCTCATTATTGAAGCATTTCTGTTTCCTGGATTGCACCCGTATGTTGCCTCTGAATCTGTGTGGGTGCTTTTTTCTAACAGTACTCCTTCAATGATTTTGTAGAGCTCTACAAACAAGAGAATAATATTGTTGCGGGTAACAAATTACAGTGGCAGTTACCCACAGATACCGAGAAACGGGTTTATTGACTGCTATCACTTTGCCTTAACTCCTGCTAACAATTTCTGCAGCAAGATAATCAAAACTAAACAAATTCCTGTTGTGTGAAGATTAATTACCATCACACATTTTACTTTTAGGAACTAGAGAGTCTAAATAAATTCTTTGTATACTTCTAATCTTAAATTGAATGTAGATTTTATTTATTTATTTTTTAAAGATTTTATTTATTTATTTGACAGACAGAGATCACAAGTAGGCAGAGAGGCAGGCAGAGAGAGAGAGAGGAGGAAGCAGGCTCCCCGCTGAGCAGAGAGCCCGATGAGGGGCTCCATCCCAGGACCCTGGGATCATGACTGAGCCGAAGGCAGAGGCTTTAACCCACTGAGCCACCCAGGTGCCCCTGAATGTAGATTTTAAAGGTGCAGAATTTTTCACTTGCTCTCTGTGAGTAGTAGTATTGTTCAAAACCATTTTTCAGGAGTCACATAACCAAATCTAGTTTCATGAAATGGAAGAAAGGCTTTGGCGGCCTTCATTTTTCAGATTTTTATTTGTTCCTTTGAACCAATCCTCTTATATTTATAAATTGGTTCTGCATTTTTACTCTTCGTTTACTTGTTCATTTCCCAGTTGTATTTAAAATACACTAAACGAGAAAGTAGGTGTAGTGAAAAACACAAATTAATACCAAAATAAGATGAATCTGTGTGTGGAAAATCTGAATGGGAAGAGAAACAACAGGAGTCTGAAAGCAAGTGGCTTTCTGGCAGAAGCTGGGACTCTACTCGCCGTCTTCATGATGTGGATCATTACGTTGAACTGTATTTTGTTTCTTGCCTAACACAAACATTCTCACATGTATAAAAGCCTATCTTTATAGACTTGTGGAACGTCTGCAAGATAGATTTTTGTAAGTAAAGTATGGCATATCCATGGAATCTGTCTCCGCTCGCCCCCTTCCTACACCCTTACACCCACTACATACTTTTCTCTGTATGTAGCGACACAGTTCTTTCTCCAGGCAGTGTTTAAGCTTCATCCCACCAATTCTGATATGTTGTATTTTCATTATACTCAGTCCAAACATTTTCTTAGTTCCCTTGTAATTTCTTGTTTAACCCAGGAATCAATTAGAAATGTGTTGTTTTATAGTTAGATACTTAGGGTTTCCCTAGTATCTTATTATTATTGATTTGTCATTTAATTCCATGCGGTCAAGGAAGATACTGTGTATGATTCTGATTGTTTTAGATTCATTGAGGTATGTTTTATGGCTCAGCATAGGGTCTGTCTTGGTGAATGAACCTGTTTCCTTGAAAACAACATATATATTCTTCAGTTGTTGGACATAGCCTACCCTAAATGTGAAATTAGATTAAGGTAGTTGATAGTGTTCTTCAGATCTTCTGTGTCCTTCATGATTGTTTTGTTTGTTTGGTCCTATCGGTTCCTGAAAGAGTGCTGTCAAAATCTTTTTTTTTTTTCTTAACATCACATATTATTTTAATAACATTTAAATTAGTAGAAAATAGTCCCCAAATTGACATTAAATAGAAAAATCCAGTAAAATCTTTTGGAATTATTTATTTTTCTCTTATATCTGTTTATTTTTGTTTCATGTATTTTACATCTCTATTATAGGTACATACACACTTATAATTATTTTTGTCTTCCTGATACACTGTTCCTTTTATCATGATGAAATATCTTTCTTTACCTCTTGTAGTGCTCTGTGCCACAAAGTTCATTTTATATGAGAGTAAGACAGCCATTCCAGCTTACTTATACTTACTTGTTTCCATGGTGTATCTTTTTACTTTTGTACAATCTGTTTTTAAAATTTACAGTGATTCCTGTAGGTAGGGTCTTTCTTTTGTATCCATTCTATCAGTTCAGTTCTTTTAATTGAAATGTGTATTCATGTTCTATGCATTCTAATAAACTATTGCCAACTTAAAATAATTATTATCTCACAGTTTCCATAGGTCAGAAGCCTGGGCATAGCTGCTTCTCTCCTTGGGTCTCACAGGTCGAAATCAGGATTTCAGTAGGGCTGCATTTCTTTCTGGAGGCTCTAGGGGAGAACCTATTTCTAGGCCCACTCGGACTGTTGGTGGAATTTAGTTCCATGAGGTTGTGGGACTGAGGTCCCTGTTTCTTTGCTGGCTGACCCTTGGGGGTTGTTGTCAGCTTCTGGAGGCTATCCACATTCCTTGGCTTGCGGCCTACTTCTCCATCTGCAAAGCTAACAATAATGGTCAAGTTGTTCTTACTCTTTGAGCCTCTCTCACCTCCCCTTCTGCCTCATCTCTGACTTACTCTTCTGCTTTTAAGAGTGCACATGATGGTTTACCAGGTCTACATTAAGCCTGCCGGGATAATCTTTCTATCTGAGGGTCAGCTGATTAGTAACATTAATTACACATGCAAAGCTTCTTCATAGTGGAGCTAAATTACTTTGATTGACTAAGCAGGGGCAGGAAACTTAGGGTGATAGCTTCAGAGTTCTGCCTGCTAGTGAATAGTTAGGCCATTAACATTTAATGTGATGATTGATATATCTAGATATAGCTCTATATATTATATAGGTATAAAGATCTATATAGATATAATATATATAATATATATCTCATATAGATATAAGATCTAGCTCTTTATATTATTTGTTTGTTTGTTCCTTTGTTTTCCCTTTCCAGTCTTGTTTTGTATTTGAATATTTTTAATATTGGCTTTTTGGGGATATTTCTTGGTATGATTTTTTTAGTCATTGCTCTGGGTTTTGCAATGTACATAACTAGTCTCTCACAGTGTACTTAGAGTAAATATTGTACCACTTATAAAATGTAGAAAACTTGCAGACATATTTCCTTTTACTTCAACCTAGACTTTATATTAGAATTGTATGTCTTTTATTGAAAACTGTACTAGGTCATACATTTTGCTCTAAATAGTCATAAATATTTTAAGCAATTTAGGAAAAAAAGTAGTCTTCTATATTTACCTAACCACTTACCATTTCTATTGTTCCTACCTTCTTTCTTAAAGATTACAGTTTTGTTTTCTGGTACCATTTTTCTTCAGCTTGAAAAACTTTCTTTAGCATTTCTTCCAGAGCAGGTATGATGAGTGACAACTCCTCATATATAACTTCCCTAAGATTATAAAGTCCCAACATCTGGGCCATCTCAGGATTGGTATCTGTTGATTTTCTTTTCCCTTGACAATTGCTTACGCTTTCCTGGATCTTTTTTTTTAAGATTTTATTTATTTATTTGACAGAGAGAGAGCACAAGCAAGGGGAGTGGCAACCAGAGGGAAAGGGAGAGGCAGGCCTGGACCCTGGGATCATGACCTGAGCCGAGGGCAGACGCTTAACCAACTGAGCCACCCAGGCGTCCCAATAGATCTTTTTATGGCCAAAATCTTGATTGTATCTTGGAAACTGTGAATGTTATGTTGTGTAGCCTCTGGGTCCCGTTTTAATCCTTCATAATCCTCTGGAGAATGTTGAAATTTTTGTTTTAGCAGGCGGTCATTCAGCTTTTGTTCACACTGTACATTCTGCCTTATCCCCTGTGAGAAGTGTTTCAAATCTCAGTTCTCTAAGTCTTTGATATCCTAGTTTGCATCTGTCTTGTGCTTACGGGGCTCTGGGGTTAGCTAGAGACTCGTACAGGCAATTCAAATCTCAGTTCGGTTCTCCCAAGCCTCTGCTGTGCTGGTGGAGCGCTGCCGTGTGTGCTGCAGGAACTGAGCTGAGACTCCTGGGGTGCACACACAGAATGAGACGGTCCTCTCCTCTAACCCTCTTTCCTCCAGGACCATCCTTCTTCCCACATAATTGCTGGCCTTCAGGGACCCTTTTTCCGTTTTTTCTGGGATAACAAGGGAGTTTGTTTGTTTGTTTGTTTGTTTCTTTCTTTCTTTCTTTCTTAAAAGATTTTATTTATTTATTTGACAGAGAGATCACAAGTAGGCAGAGAGGCAGGTAGAGAGAGAGGGGGAAGCAGGCTCCCTGCTGAACAGAGAGCCCAATGCGGGGCTTGATCCCAGGACCCTGAGATCATGACCTGAGCCGAAGGCAGAGGGTTTAATCCACTGAGCCACCCAGGCACCCCAACAAGGGAGTTTCTTTCAGACTTTTGGCCTCTTGTACTACTTCATTACTCTGAGATTAGGGCCTGCCTTTTGGACAGAGGCACAGAAATAAAAAACTAAATTGGGAAGCCACGTCCATGTGAATGACCACATTGCCAACTTTTGACTCCTCTGCTTAATCTTCAGTTGTTTTTTTTATATTTTTCCTAAAGGGTTTTATTGGTTTGATAATAAGTAGGAGAGATGGGTTATAGTGGGTTTGTACTACCTCCGCACATCAGAAGTCTCTTTTAACTTACTTATCAACAAAGAGGTCGAAGAATGACATGTCTTTACTTTGTCAGCCTTTTCTGTGGCAGCAGCTGGAACAATGAATAGTTAATTCTAAGCATCTGGTATTTGAGGAACAAGAATTGGGATTTTGGGAGGAGTGGGACTTCTACAACTATTGAGACACTGTAATGCTTGATTATTCACTTATAGGTATCAGGATCTCCCCCGTCAGATGACTTGGCGGCTGATTTGCCTCGAATGGAACACCAGCACTGAGAGCTGTTTTGGTTCTGAACTGGGTATGTCAGGTGTTTCATACTTAAAGCAAAGTGTCCTCCCATGAGAAATATTCTGTAGCTTGCTGAAGTTCAGATACTGCAGCTAAAGTAATCTCCAGTGATTGATACCATGAGAACTCCTGATGGAGAAAGGGTTGTGTCACTTAAAAATACAGAAGTGACATTTGTTTCTGGGGTGAAATCCCTTTTCATAGAGCTTACATCTCTTGCTCTGAAACTAATCTCCTGTATTTTATTGGCTCCAGTAATGCGAATTTACGATGACGAGTGCTGTGGAAGGATATATACTTATCTCCCTTCTCAGTCATTTGTCCCTTTGGGCTTTTTAAAGCAAGAAAGACAAAATGATTGCTTGGTAATCTTCTTCCCTATAAAGAAGGGTCAGCACTATACCAGATGATTGCTTCCCATTTATGTATTTATTTACTTATTTTTATTTTTTGCTTCTACTGGACTTTACATTGTCCTGCTACTATACCACAGGAAAAAGAGCCTTGCAAGCTCCAGGCCTGAACCACGTGTCACTGCAGAGAAAACAGGGCCCCTGGAGCACCTTCTTCCTACCTCACTGTGGACCTATTCACAGGATAAATACATGTCACACATTTTTTTTTATAAGAAAGCAGGATAGATTAATAATAAGTGATTAGGCATCAACAATGACTTGGAAAATCAAAAGTCAATTTTAAATGGTAACAGGATTTCCCTCCTTTAAGTATAACTGTTTAGTACTAAAAAAATGAAAAACAAAAATCAGATCTTTTTTTTTTTAAAGATTTTATTTATTTATTTGACAGACAGAGATCACAAGTAGGCAGAGAGGCAGGCAGAGAGTGGGGGGGAAGCAGGCTCCCTGCTGAGCAGAGAGCCCGATGCGGGGAGATCCCGGGACTCCAGGATCACGACCTGGGCCAAAGGCCAGAGGCGTTAACCCACTGAGCCACCCAGGTGCCCCAAAATCAGACCTTTTGAGTGCTAATTCACTATGCGACAAGTCATCCAATGTTTAGTATCTTATTAGCTATAAAATGTGATGATAATAAAATCCCACCTTCTTATAAATATGTTGTTGTCATTAATCTATTAACCTCCACAAAGCATTTTGAATGTCTGTGCCATCATATGTGAATTTACTACGAAGTGAACAAGTCTTAATTCCTCACTGATATGGGTCCCTTCCAAGGCTCTGGGAGAAGTCTTGGCAATGCACTCATTACACATACTGTATGAACTGTAGCCTCTATGAAACTTGGATCTGTTTCGTCAAAACCAGTCATTATTTACAGACAAGGAGATGATATGCTATACATGACAGTTTTGATTGCTAATTATCCTAAGGAATGTCTTTAAAATCTTGTTTTTGATATATATGGTTTAGTCTAAAGTTTTCTTAGAGTGTGTAATACAATATTATAAATATCTTCAATGTAAGAAAGCAAGTGAGATAGAAATGTATTTCTAGAAGGATCTTATGTAAACCATTGGGCATATGTTCCCCTGTGATTTTAGATGCTGCTCTAGCCCTTGAGATGACATCCTCTTGCAACAGAAGTGCTGATATCCTACAAAGAGAGATTCGTGGTTTTGTCCTTTACTTCTAAACTGCCTGCATTTTCTGAGAAAGGCCTTGCAGAAGAAAAGAAAAAAGACTTCCAAGTGTTTCCAAGGAAGATTGAATAAGTGTGCCTCCCTGACTGCTATCCTGTCACCTTTCAAGGTCTCTGTTGCTATTTCAGGATATATCCAATGGAAGAATAGTGATATGGTTCTTGTTACATGAATGTGTATTTACTGTTAGTAAATTGTGCATTTAAAATTACCCAAGAGTAAAAAAAAAAAAAAAGTTTAAAAAGAGAGAAAGAATCATTATAATGGTCATGTTATATGAACTTTCTGTGTTATCTATATAAATGTGTACATTTATTTAGGAATGGGTTTGGTGGAGGTAAGTGATTAAAAACTAGGATCAGTTGAAGAAATGAAAAAATTAGGATCCGTAAAAGAAAATGTTTCCTTTACCCTAATTTAACTGTAAATACACATTTAAAAAGCTTGCTTGTTTCTAGGCTTTAAGGAGATATGTAATTGCTCTCTGTGGATAGGCGTCTGTCTTTGGTTTCTGTGATTATTGTTGATGTTTGATCATTATGTTATGGGAATCTGGCCTCTCTGCTGATCTTTTAAGAACAACACTACTGCAAATGTCTCAAGGAAACTTTTTATGTCTAATGATTTAGTATGACCTGACTTTAGATAATCCTCTGTATTTTAAGACTGTGGTGCCAGGGTTCCTGTGTGCAGGAACAGGACTGAAGAAAGAACGGTGAAGGAGAATTTTGTAGGTATACCTTCAAGTTGAGGACTGTGCACGTCATTGAGAAAGGAAGTATATGCGTGCAAAATTAGGAGATGGGCCACTTCTCTCTTGGCCAGTTACTGTTGATCTACCCCCCACCCCCAGCATAGAGGCTTTGGGAAGGAACATCCATTATTATGGACCTCTCTCCTGTCCACTGATAGTTTGAAGGTGATAGCAGACAGAACCCCGAGATGTTCCTGTCTTCTCATTTCCTCAAACACTTAGACCTTCCCAAAAGTTCTTCACCAATAGGCAAAACTATCTACCTACAGACCTCACATCTTTCCTCGTGCCCCAGCCCATGGCTTCCAGGTGGGAAGCTGAAGCCAGTTTGACTCTAGGTTTTTGGTTTCCAGTTTGCTGGTCATACTCTGCATTTATTGTTTTAGAGAATCATTAGGGGGACCAGAACTTGTGTGTTTTTCTTGGCCTTAACCGGTTAACAACATGTTTTTTTTTCCAAAACACACTGACTAGAACTTGGCCCAAGAATTTAACTAGCACTTTTCTTTATTACTCTGTGGAGCTTAATATTGAAATTCTGAATTTAGATACTTGGTCCTCAAAAAAGCAGGACATTCAGGAAGAGACAAATTGAGGGGTTCCTATGTAGAAGTCTATAGGTGGTTCAGTTAAAATTCTGTCTTGATTTTGAAGCTCTATTTTTAAACTCTGACCAGGTGTTTGACTAAATTGGTATGACTAACATGCTAGACAAAATTAATGTGTAGGAATTAATAACCTTCACATCGAGATATTGTTTTATTTTTACTTTAAAAAGTATTGCCAACAGACTGTACAGTGTGGGAAGCAGACAATACTTAAAAGCCAAGTGGCTTTCCAACTTATTTTGATGTAATTTTTATTTAAAGACAGTGTGTACATATCACCTCAATGTCTGAGGATCTAGGATCAGTTATCTGTATTTGCTTTTGGTATCTTTCGCCTATTAAAACACTGTGTGAACTTTAGAATTAAGGGACTAAATATAATTTACTCTAATTTACTCTAAGGGTCATATCTGGTTAGAACCTGGGCGGAACAACTTGAAAAAGAAGATTTTTGCAAACTGGGGCTATAGATTCTGAACCAAAAATAATTCTTTAAGATTACTCTGTTCTCCTTACAAGGATATGACTAAACATAATCGGAAATATGTGTATGTCCTGGCGGGGGAAATGGGCTTGCTGTTGGATGTATGTTTTACAATTAATAAATATTATATCTTACTGAGCTCCATAGATGATTTTATTTGCATTTATTTAAGAGAATACAGATAATGTATACAACATTGTATGGAATTTAACAAATAAATTTGAAATAATCTGTTAATTCTTTTTTTGAAACTTGGATACAGGGGGGGCAAGTTGTCTTTTTTTTAATTGGGTTTTTATTTTAATTCCGGCATAGTTAACATAGAGCTATGTTAGTTTCAGGTGTACACTATAGTGATTCAGCAATTCTGTACATTACTCAGTGCTCATCAAGGTAAGTGCACTCTTAATCCCGGTCACCTGTTTCACCCATCCCGCCACCTACCCCCGCTCTGGTAACCCTCTATTTCTTCCCTATTTAAGGGTCTGTTTTTTGGTTTGTCTTTTTTCCCCTTTTGTTTGTTTGTTTTGTTTCTCAAATTCCCCGTGAGGGAAATCATACGATATTTGTCTTTCTCTGACTGGTTTATTTCACGTAGCTAATGCTGCTCTCTAGAGCCATCCATGTTGTTGCAAGTGGCAAGATTTCATTCTTTTTTCATGGCTGAAAAATATTGCATTCCACTTCTTTATCCATCCCTCTATAGATGGACACTCGTGCTGCTTCCATAATTTGGCTATTGTAACTGATGCTGCAGTAAATATGGGGCGCATGTATCTTTTTGAATTAGTCTTTTTGTATTCTTTGTATTGTATTCAATACAATTAGTAGTTTTGTATGCCACTACCCAGTAGTAGAATTACTAGATCATATGGTGGTTCTGTTTTTAATTTTTTGAGGAACCTGCATACTGTTTTCCACAGTGGCTACATCAGTTTGCCTTCCCACCAACAGTGCATGGACGTTCCTTCTCCATATCCTTGCCAACACCTGTTGTTTCTAAAATTTTTTATTTTAACCGTTCTGATAGTTTTGTGGTGATATCTCCTTATAGTTTCAATTTGTCTTTCCCCGATGATGAGGCATGTTGAACATCTTTTCATGTGTCTGTTGGCCAAGTGTATGTCTTATTTGGAGGAACGTCTGTCCATGTCTTCTGCTCATGTTAATCAGATTATTTGTTTTGGAGACGTTGCTGAATTAGTTTTCTTGTACAGCACATGATACGAGCAGCCTGGCTAGAAAGAAACATGTTTTGTGAAGACCTGGTCAAAGTTGTGACAGATGGAAGTTTAGAACTTGTGTCTGCTGATTGAGAATCCCTTGCTTGTTTGGAATAGCTGACTTCCTATTGAAATGGGAACAAAGAAGATAGGTTTCCTTATGTGACTCCCTCATTATCGGTTCTTTTATCTGAGTTGTGCTCCAATAGAAATCTCGATCTGTAGTAAACTCTGAGTCAAACTGGACTGAAAGATGTGACTGACTTGTTTTCTAAGCCTTCCTCTATATAACTGAACCGCGGGCAGGGAATTAGAAACAGCAGGGTCATTTCTCCTAAGGCTTTAAGGCTGGTTCTCATGAATTGGACTACATGGATTTTTCTTTATTGTTTTGTGCTGTGTCTTTACATTGGTAATGGACTCCTAACACTCCTCTATGTGAATGAAAAATTGTTTTTTATTCACTGCTTTTAGAGGGCCTTATGTTTCCTCTTGATAGATTCAGACACGAAAAAACCTGAAGCTATAATTAACATACAGTTTGTTTCGTAACATGTCCTTCGGAGAAGTACCTTACCACAAACCTTGACATCATTTGTCATCACTTTAAGTAACTTGTAATTTGGGGCTTTGTATTTATAGATGTTTGTGGATATCTGATGTTGAATGTATATACACTGAGAAAGTTTTCTGTACCAAACCATCCAGAAAATGTCATTTTTCTTTGCTTTCAGTGAAAATTTACTCTCCCCCCTCCCCCATTGCATGGCCTCATTCAATCCTTTATGTCCCACTTTGGCAGCAGAGTCATCTCCTATAGAAGTGAGGAAGGTTGTAGCAAAATTTTAGAAAATGTATTATTGGTTAACATGTATTAAAATAAGAAAGAATAAGGGAAATGAAACCAAAATATCTCAGTTCAGCATGTTTTTCTGTCCCTAGTCCATTGGAGGATCTCCTATCAGTCAAGAGAATAGGCTTTTTTTTTTTTTTTTTTTGGTCAGTTTATTTCCATTAGGCTGTCTCCATGTCTGTAGATATGGAAAATGATATTCATTAATGTAGCTGCTAGAATTGAAAACTCTCCCTCCATCCCACAATAACAGTGTTCTAATTGGCTACTTCCCTTCCCAACTTGTTTTTAGCCTCTTCCTTAGACCATCATTCCTTTTGCTTTCATGTATACCTACTATCTGTACTCCCCATGCCCCCACTACATATATATATTTTTAGTAGAAAATCTGTTTATTAAGATGTTCCTGGACCCTGCAGAAGAGTCAGGGCCTGGTTCTGAAGTCAGATGGGCAAGTTCAACAATCCATTGTCACCAACCCCGCTAATTTTTCTGTCTCTCCAAAGATTGGGAGCCATACTTTATTTATCTGTTTCTGTTCCACACCATCTCACACAGTGATTTCTTCTTTCTCCCCTTCTTTCTTCTTCTTCTTCCTTCTCCTCCTCTTCCTCCCATTCCCCTCCTTCTTTCTGTTCTTCTCCTCCCCCCTCCTCCTCCTCCTTTTCTTTCTACTTCTTCTCCTTCTCCAACTTCTTTTTCTCCTTCTCCTTCTCCTCCTCCTCCTCCTGTCTTCTTAATTCCCTTCCCCTTCACTCTTGCTCCTCCCCTCCCCCTCCTTCTTCATCCCTGCACTCAACATAGGTCTCGAACTCACAACCCCAAGATCGGGAGTCACATGCTCTTCTGACTGAGCCAGCCAGTGATTTTTATGTGACAGCCCCTAACCAGTGATTTTTATGTGACAATAGTAGTAATAATCCTACAAAGGAGGAATGTAAGGTTTTTTTGATTTTGGTTTTTTTTTTAAAGATTTTATTTATTTATTTGACAGAGAGAGATCGCAAGTAGGCAGAGAGGCAGGCAGAGAGAGAGGAGGAAGCAGGCTTCCTGCCAAGCATAAAGCCCGATGCGGGGCTTGATCCCAGGACGCTAAGACCATGACCTGACCCGAAACCAGAGGCTTTAACCCACTGAGCCACCCAGGCACCCAGGAATGTAAGTTTTATTTTATAGGCAAGGTACTAGGCTTAGAAGGTTTAAGGGACACATACAGAGTCACTCAATAAATGGTAGAGCCCATGGTGTTTGTTAAAATAAATATACAAGTATGATTATTTAGATGAATGAATTTTAAAATTTTTGTTTAGGGCACCTGGGTGGCTCAGTTGGTTAAGCGACTGCCTTCGGCTCAGGTCATGATCCTGGAGTCCCTGGGTTCAAGTCTCACCTCAGGCTCCCTGCTCAGGAGGGAGTCTGCTTCTCCCGCTAACCTCTCTCCCCTCATGCTCTCTCTCTCTCTCTCTCTCATTCTCTCTCTCTCTCTCAAGTAAGTAAATAAAATCTTTTAAAAAATAAATAAAATTTTAGTTTAGATAATATACACTTTGGGAAATTTGACTCCTGGAGCCACATGCTTCATTCATGTATGGGGGAGGAAGTGTGTTTCTCTAGCCATCAGACCAAACTTCACTTCATTCTAGACTGAATGTGGATATTGCTCACTGTGAGTCAAGCACTGTAGCCAAGGAAACGGTATGTACTTATTGGCTTGGATCGCTCTTAAATTCCTTTGCCTGAATTAAGGAGCAGAAGGAAATAGGATGGTGCTGATTGGTTTAGGACAATGACAGTTTACCTGTGGAACCACCTGGCTTCTCCAATGCTGGGAAAATATATGTAGAATGGACGCTGGAGAAAAAATTCACCAG